GTCCGGTGGCGCCGAGCTCACAGGGGGTGAAGGATGTGAAAGGTGAGAGACGCTCATCCGCGGGCAATGAGCCGTCCTGGAAGAGGCAAGAGGTGGTGTGCTCTCTGTCGGAGCAGATGTCTGCCGGGTTCCCAGCACGCCCGCGACCCTGCAGAGCAGCTCTGCAGAGATGGGGGTGCCGGGCCCTGGCATTTCCCCCATCTTGGGCGAGCCCCAGTCGGGTGTTCTTGCCTGCAGCACTGGACCCTGCTGAGCGTGTCCCTGCTGAACTGCCTCCTGTCCACCGCGTGAATTGTAGCGTGGGGCTGGCACTGGCCATCGCCCTCACGGTGCACGGCCGGGGCACACACCTGGTCAGGGGCTGCAACAGCTCTGCACTGCCTGCGGACGCCCGCACAGCCATCGCAACCAACGACTGTCCCTTCAACACAACGCGCATCTATGTGAGTCTGCGGGGCGCCACACACCCGTGCTCCTCCCATCAGCCTCTTTCTCTCGCTGCTTCCTCTCGTTTTTCTTCTTCTTCTTCTGTCTCCCTCTTCTCTCCCCTGCTGCCTGGCGTGCAGGCAGCCTGGTGCAGTGCCCACACTCTGCTGACCCCCTGCTCCACAGGACACGGCCCTGGCCCTCTGGTTCCCCTCCCTGCTGCTGGCAGCTGCAGAAGCCGTGCTCTCGGGCAGGTGCTGTTTGGTTGCTCTGGTCTTCCGGGGCATCGGGCCCTGTGCACACAGCTGGGACAAAGAGCAGGTATACCCTGTCCAACCAGATGGGTCTCCCTGTATCTGCCCCACAGTTGCTCCCTTTGTGCTGCATTTTGAAGGTGCTGGGTTCTGCTGGGAGCAAGCAGACTGCAGCAGTGGGAGGGGGTGATGCCGAGTTGGAACCTTTTCTGGCTAGCCTGGGTGCCAGACTGGCACCCCTTCATCTTGGAGAGTTGTGGACAGACCCTCTTCTTCATGCCCCTGAGAGTCAGGGGCTCTTGTTCTTCAAGCCTTGTTCTTTCCTTGTGTAAACTGCCCATCACACACCGTTGCCACCCTCCCCTTCTCTTTTTTTTTCCCTTTTTTTTTCTCTGTAGCTGACCAGGCCAAGTGCAGCGACGGAGAGGCCACCCCGAGAGAGGCAGCAGCTCCTGGCAGGGCTGGCTGAGTCTCGTGCCTAGGTGGAGAGGTGAGCGCAGCACATGGGCCGTGCTTGGGGACAGCAGGGTGCAGGCTCTGCCATCAAAAGGGCCCCTGCCCACACCAGCCCCCCAAAACACCTCTTCCCAAGCACATGGCCAGTGGTATCAGTGCGATGCTGGGACCTGCAGCACAACCTTGCACTTACACGTGCTCCTTCACTCCCAGGTGGTGCTGCAGGAGTGCTGTGATCCAGAGCAAGGTGACATCACACCTGCACCATGCCCCTGCTGTGGGTAAGGTGGGCTGCAGGGGTGAGGGGTGTGCCTTCCTTCTCCCCCAGCCCCACCACCCCACCTGGCACAGATCCTGCGGGTTAGAAGGTGCTTTGGGCCCCAGACACTCCCCCTTCTCTCCCCAAGCTGCCAGGCCCTTCCTGGCATGCTGAAGGCTCTGTCAGCAGTCATGTCTGTCAGCAGTGACTGGGGTGAGCAGAGGTGCCGGGGCCCAAGTCCTGGTGGCACTGCGAGCAGGTCAGCTGGCTGTGCCGTGCTCAGGCAGGGCAGGGAACAGAAGGTGAAGAATCCTTTTGGTGTGAGCCTCTGGCTTTCTTGAGTAAATAAACTTTTCCACACTGGGTTCTGTGAGTGGCTCTGCTGGGCAAGTGCTGTCTGGGAGCTTGGCCTGCTGAGGGAAGGACCGTGCAGCTGCTGGGAGAGTCCATGTCCATGCTCACCACTCCCTAGGCACAGGGATGTTGACAGAGCCATGGTCTCAGTGTGACAGTCGTCCATCAGGGTGGAGGTTGAGACTCGTGTACAGGGTTTATGGCCCTGTGCCCCAGCAGCTGCCTGTGTTGTGGGCTCAGCATCCCCTGGCACACAGGAGCACAGCAGGGTTGAGATACACATTTATTGGGGGTGGAAGGGGAGGGTGCTGAAGAACTGCCCTGAAAGCTTCCGTAGTCCTGCTCACTGGAACGAGAAGCTGGTGCTCGGGAGTGCCCCACACCACCGTCGAAGAAACTCGATCACATCCTGGCCCGCTGGGCTGTGGGATGTCTGCAGAATGAGAGAGCTCTTGGCACTGGAAAGAGGGCCCTCTCCCAGGGGGCTCCCCAAGAGTACCCCGGGGGCTGACAGGGCTGGGGCTGTTAATTCCCACCCAACAGCACACTGGGAGAGTGCAATAAACCTTCCTGGGAGAGTGACTCACCCAGCATGACTGTATGGTCAGCATGAGGGGCTGAACCCACCCCCACAGCCTGCCTGCCTGCCCCACAGGGTCCTGGCTCACCTTGACAGCCATCATGAACTTGTACCACGCGTCCTTGTTGACTTCTCGGCCTGGCTTCAACTCGATCTTGTTTCTTAGTACAGGGTATCCTGGGCACAAAGTGACACGTTCAGAACAAGCTGAGCCCCACAGCAGACCCCCACCTGGTGCATCCATTCCCTCTGCCGTGGTTGGGGCTGCCCCATGGCACAGTGTGGAGAGAGCGATACTGCCTCAGGCTTTAAGAGACCAGAATGAAGAAGGGGGTGCTCAAAGTGGCAGGATCAAATGAAGATGAAGGCTGAACTGCCCTTGGCCAAGGACACCCAAGTGAGTAGGTCAAACAATGGCACCCAGCTCCTGATTTTAAAGCCTGTTCTGGTGGCTCACCTCTGCTCTCCCTTCCCTGATCCTCTTTAAGTCCTGCACTGCAGTCCAGTACTGTCTGAAGTGTGCACATGGGGAACAGACCTTGCCAGAAGTGACAGCTTTTGTAGAGCAGGGCAGAGCAGGGCCAGGTGCTGCCCGGGGACAAGCATCTGTGCTGGCCAGCCTGGAGTCCCCAGACAGAGCTGTGCCAGCCTGAGCCATCACAGAATCACACAGAGTGGCTGAGGTCAGAAGGGCTCTGGAGTCTGTATGGTCCAACCCCCTGCTCAGACAGGGCCACCCCAGCCCAGGACCATGTCCAGATGGCTTTTGACTGTCTGGAAGGACGGAGATGCCACAACTTCTGTGCAACCTGTTCCAGCGCTCAGTCACCCTCCCAGTAACAAAAGGGTCCTTCTATCTCCTCCAGCAGCGCTGGTTCCCCACAGCCACAGTCTCCCCACTCCTCTCCCAGACCTGCCCGGCAGCATGTTCCCACTCCCTGCATGGCACCATCATCCCCTATCTGAGTGAGCTGGCCTGGAGCTTACCTGTGAGCAGGCAGGGCAGGGAACGCACCCCGGTCCCTGCTGCCACCAGTGAGGCTTCGTAGGTGTTGCGCTCGTCCTGTGGCAGCACCTGCTCCAGCCGCTGGTCCATGGACATGGTGAGCACCCAGTCCTTGACCTCCTCCCGCTGCTCCTCCTGCAGGCACAGGCCAGTGCATGGCCTGGAACTGCTGTACCGCTGCCTGGCTGCAGCCCCGCAGCCCCAGGGAGCACAGGGGAGAGCAGGACACAGGCATGCAGGACGTGCACAGGTGAGCACACACACATGGGTGGTGCACAGCAGAGGGCGAGTGCATGTGTGTGTGTTGGAGAGCATGGGAAAGAATATGTGTGTGTGTGTGTGTGTGTGTGTGTGTGTGTGTGTGTTGGGGAGCACCGGGAAAGAATGTGTGTGTGTGTGTGTGTGTGTGTGTGTGTGTGTGTGTGTGTGTGTGTTGGAGAGCACAGGAAAGAATGTGTGTGTGTGTGCGCTTGCAGTGGGGTGGGGGCCACAGAGCAGGGCCAGGGCTGGCTCTGTTTCCATCCCCAGTAGTCCCTACCATCCCAGCCTCATCCCAGTCCCTGTTCAGAGGGCCCTGAAGTACCATCACTGCTCACAGGAGCTGGAGAATGCAGGTGACACTCACAGGCACATGCTGTTGGGCTGGAAGTGGCACTTCAAAAGGAATGTCTGTTCTCTGGAAATCAGAGTGGTCCAGGGAATCCAGGTTCCCTTCTTCAATGGCCTGGGAAAGGAGAAGTAGTGGAGCACTGGGCAATGCCAGTTGTGGAGCTCACAGCACAATTCATGGTGAGGATGCCCCTGTCTGTTCGTGCTTTGGTGACCAGGCCCTCCTGGCATCCACGGCCACCCTCTGCAGTGCCCCTCAGACACTCTCCTACTCAAACTTGTCAGGTGGCCTCAAAGAAAGGAAAGATGTAATCCAGGGCTTTTATTTTCCCCCAGCAGCTGCCAACAGCTCTTGGGAGTGTGGCACAGTGAGGTCTGTCAGCTCCCTTGGGTTTGGTGTTTCTGATGACCAACCTGCTGGTCAAAGAAGGGGCTGAGGGGACTCTCGAGTCTTGTATCACAGTGGCCAAGGCACTGGGTGGTGGCCTCCACCCCCCAGGTAGTTTTCTTTCCCTTGGAACAACTCAAGTGAGCTCATCCCGAAAGCTGTAACAGCACCTATAGCCATAAGGACTTCAGGCCTAAACGGTCAGGCCAACGTGCTCTTTGCTGCCACGTGCACTGTGGCACTGGCACGCCCAGGGCTGTACAGGTGCCCTCCCTGACAGGTGGTGTGAGGGTACCCAGTGCTGTGCACACACACACTGAGTGGGGTTTGGGGCTCTCCATCAGCATGAACTCCAATGTGCTGCCATAAGAGCCTCAGATGTGCCCTGCCCAGGCTGGGGGTCTGCGGTGGCCCTACTGCTCGGTGTCATTTTAGTGGGACAGCCCTCCCCCTGCAGACCATACGCACGTCTGAGAGGTCCAGGAAGCGGTTCAGGAAGATGAATGCCATGTTCTCCCAGCTGACTGCCTGGTACAGAGAGGAACCCCGAGTGAGACCGGGCAGCTCATCCTCACAGCCACAGCTCTCCTCCCAGAGCCACGTCTGGGGAGGACATGGCTCTCTTTGTGTGACAGCATCCCACTTGCAGCACAGGAAATGGACAGAGACTGCACATCCCAGCTCGCCTCCCCCGAGGAATGAATCCCTGGGACAACCAGCCCCGTGGCCACAGGCTGTCCCACACAATGCAGCCAGGCATTATGGACAGGCTGGATGAGGCTTGGAGCAACCTAGTCTAGTGAAAGGTGTCCCTGCCCACGGCAGAGGGTGGAATGAGATGAGCTTTAAGGTCCCTTCCCACCCAAACTATTCCATGATTCCATTATTGCACAGCCAGGTCCAGGCTGTGAGGGCATGCTGCTGTCCTCGCCATGTGTCACCTGGGCAGACTGTCAGACACTTGAGTGACCCAGAGCAGTCTCACAGCCACACTAACAGAGCCGTAATGTGGCCTCTGTCCACCCCTGGCTCTGCAGGTCCTGTCGGTTGGCTGAGGTCTGTCCTCCCTGCCTGAGGCTGGACAGCTGCTGGAGTTTGGCTATTGGGCTGCAAGTGCAATCAGGGGGGAATTTGGGAAGATAAAGCTGAGAATCTCTGAACCCAGGGTGCCCCACCTCCTCCTCTGCTCTGCTGGCGGGTAGCTCTTACCTTGGCAGCTACCCCAGCCTCATAGAAAGCCTTGTCTGCAGGGAGCAGATCCGTGTGGCGCAGCAGGGAAATGGACAGCTGGGCAGCCATGGTGTCCTGTGAACATAGAGGACAGGAAAGACACAACAATTCAGCACAGAAAAAACAGCTTGTAAGGGATCTCATGAGATCACACCACCCCAGACTCACGGCAGGGACTCTGCACCCACATGTGCCCTACAGGTAACAAACAAAGGTCAAAAGCTTCAGTTCTGACCCTGACTTCCCTCACTACTGAACACATGGGACTGTCACCTGAGGGTGAAATTCTTGTGTTTACGAACATTGCTATTTTTCAGTAGAAGCCAACCCCAAATTCCCCCCATTTGAGTCACAGAACAGGTGAGGTTGGAAGGGATTGCTGGTGACTGCCAAGTCCTGCCCGAGCCCTGGTCAAAGCAGAGGCAGGAACATGCCTGTCAGGTTTTGACTATCTCAAGGGATGGAGACTCTCCAGCCTCTCCAGGAAACCTACTCCAGACACAGTCTCAATAAGCTTTTCCTTGTATTCAGTTATGTAAGAATTATGGAGTGGAGATGAGGAATTAAAGGGGGATTTCACTTTTCTGCTTGCCAGATATACATCATCACACCAGAACTGTCAAGGCCACCCCTGCTCCATGATCCCAAATAGACTGCGCAGCATCTCAACATTCCACAGCTGTGAGGGTCTATACAGACTTGCTGTCTGACATGGTTCTGGACTCCCAACATCCACACATACAGCCATGGGGAAGTCCCAGTCTCCCCTGTGACTTTCACTGGGGTCCTAGCTGTGGCAACCTTTCCTTTTTGCAGCCTTCTTCCATCACAGCTCCAGTCCCACACTAATACAGACCTCTAGCACAATTCCACAATCCCACATGGATCAAGACTTCAGCAGGGAGGCTGCTACATATTGTGGTCCACAACAATTCCCAGTCCACAAAAGACTCCAAAATACTTACAGTGCCTTTTGTGCCCCCCTCCCAGGCCCGTGAGCTCCCAAAGCCCCCTGAGAGGCTCAGCACACAGGGCCAGCACCTGCCAAAGCCCCGGGCAGATGAGCTGCTCTCAAGATCATGTGAAGCCCAGCAGCTCTCGCAGCCCAGGACAGCAGAGAGGAAGCAATCCCTCTCCTGGGAAGACCAGATTTTTTGTGAATCCCTAACTTTCTATGGTGCCTTT